AATATGATAACAGCGCCTTATATATTGCCTCCAGAAGCTTCTAGAATCAACCCGCTGGGGGAGTCGGTGATATGCGGCTTGAACCCGTTACATCCACATCGTATCACAACCTTGACCGTCCATACTCCAAACTGAGGGTTGAGGTTGCATCCCACAACTAGCGGGGTCAGAAGCAGTACTATTGCACGTAATATCATGTGTACCAGTATTGTTAGCACTAGCTAAGAGCTGGTGGTTTTCCCAAAGTAACAGATGCAGGCTACGCTATGCACGTGTCCTGGAGCCATATCTGGCCCTATTTACCAGTTCCACACATAGCCGAATAGAGCGCCTAGCTATTGCACGATCAAATAAACTACTTTTCAAACGCAAAAGAGGTGTTGTTTTAAATATCTCTAGAGTACTTACTGTATTGTACTTACACAGTTGGCTATATTACGGTACTGATTTGTCTTAAATACATACTGCCAGTAACTATTTATCAATGCCTAATTATAGAAAATTACGTGTAACTAGCTGGTATTGCAGAAACAAGCGTACCTCACAGAGCAGGGCTAAATTCGACAACCAGCGCTGTCAATATTTTTGCGAAGACAAACCGTTGTATGGTAATTCTGAACTACTTCCTTGGTCCATCAAAAGACTCTTCGCTATTGCCGCTAAGCCCTAGTCCAATTTTGGACAGCTCCTATAGTATTTACAAGGTAGTCGCCTCCTTGCCTTGTCTTCAGGACATGAAGAGAAGTAGGAGCACTACACCAATGCCTGAAAAAAAGAAAACAGTAAGATGGGTTCTAGACGAGTGTTGCATATGCCCTTCGCCCATTGGTGATAAAATACCAGGGAAAGAGGGTTGCCAATCTCTCCACCTCAACAAACCCCTGCCACCCCCGCCACTACAGCCGCACCACCTGGGATCGAAAGCCAAAACTTCCATGCGGAAAGAGCAAACTCTGCAGCTTTCCAGTAATTCTTGTTTAATGGAAAACAAAGTCTGCCCTTCGTGGGTTAGAAACCCCAAAATCAATCACCTGAACCAACAGCCTCCCAAACAAATCGCGGCCGTTCAATCGTGGATTTAAAGTGTGAGGGGTCAAATTAGGTGCAACACTTGTATTTGGACTGAAATATGAAGTTCATGTATTCTTAATAATATTTAGTATTTACCAATCACTAGTGTAAGAGTATTTAGAAAGAATTCAAATGCACCGTATCGGACCAGATCTGTAACGGGTCAAGCCGCTTGAACGGCGGCTGTGCCGCCTATCACCAACTCCCCCAGCGGGTTGATTCTAGAACCTTCTGTGGAGGCGTATTGGGAAGATATAAGGCGCTGTTATTATGTAGACTTCCTTTTCTTCTTCATCTTGATAGTAAACAGCTTAGGGACTAGCTAGTTGAATCAACTCGTTAGAGCGTTTCACATGATCATCGAGGTACCAAGGATTGTAGAGTGTCATTGCGGCTCTATGTCAAGAATACACCACGACAAAATTTTCCTCAAATACCACTTCCTGATGCTTAATACCGAAACTTGGCGCTACCCACCTTCTTTCCCCTTTGATTCAAGTTCAATTACTGTTATCTCATACAAAAGCAGCTGTGTTACGCGCCGGTGAGTATGAGTCATACTCATTCGGTAGATTATGTGGAGCATAGCAGGAAGCAACGTTCACACCCCCATCATCATCCGGCTTTTCTGGATATTGTAGGTCCGCCACCTCACCGAAATGGCGTGGTATGGCTGGTTGATTGACTAGGGTTGTCTTCGGCTCCCTAACGTGGCCCAAGCGTATGCTGTGTGAAAGTGGTTGAATAAGGGTACATGTCTCCTCAATAGATCCCCGGTAACAGCAGTTATGGTCTTTATCGAAAAGTTCACGTAGCCATTTCGTCGGGTCTATCCATACGACAGTTGTCGATAAGTCCTCGTGACGGTCTCCCCGAGCATGCAAAGGACTATGGGCTTCCGCAAAGGTGGCATCTGTACAAAAAATTATTAAGCTCTTTGGGATACAAGCATATCGGGATTGGGGAGTATAGTAAGGCCCAGTGACACTGAGACCACTAGTGGACTCGAGCTTGGCTATCAACTTGAAGTTAGAGGACGACGCCCCAGGGTGCGGTGGAAGTGTCCAAGCCACTCTGACAGGCTTCCCGTTGACGTGAAAGTAACAAGCTTGTCCATCCGTAATTTTCGCGTTGGTCATCGTGCGACTGATGACTCGTACTTTATCATTCGCGATTTTTGCAGGTTTTTCAATTTCTCTG